AAAAGGCATTGTATAGACCTGCCGCTTACGGTATCCCATGCTTTGAATGATCGGCACTTGAGTCTAAACCTGGGAAAAACCCTAAAATTAGAGTAAAAGCAAATAATGGGCTTGCTTGGCAACCTAGGGTAGAATCCAGTGTTCTAAGCAGTATGACAGGGTGAAGGAGGGCTGCCACCCTGACATCAGTAGATCTTGGGCAAATCACTTAATCTCAGTTTCCCCATGTGTAAGACAAGGGAGTTACAAGGCTGGTCTCAAGGTCTCCTCTTGCTCTCTTGCTCTCTAATGACTCCAAGATGGAGTTCTGGGGAACATACCAGTAGTTACTTTCACTTTAAAGGTTAGAGGGGAGAATACAGAGCATGGTGTCAGATACATCAATGCCACCACATCCTGGGCTGCAGAGCTTAATGCACTTCTGAAGATTAAACCAAGCAGGCTGCCTCTAATGCTGTCGAAATGTCAGGCTTCAGTGCGGGGTGTTGTTAGACATCTGCATTACCTCTGTTTTTTAAACAACACGACTCTGCCAAGAATGAATCTGTGTCATCGTCTAATGGCTCTTGTCATTTTAGTGTAGTGATCAAGGAGGAAAAATGAAAGCACTTTATGTGGAAAACCAGATAAGAAGGTATTTCATAAGCCAGAGTGCAAGGCTGTCTGGAGTATAATACAGATCTATCAGTAATTCAGTTAAAACAGTTTACCTGCTTTACATGAGTGGGTTCAGTTCACTGATCTTCATTCAAGCTAACACTGACGTTATTTAACTGTGGGCTGCACATTACACCACACAGACCAAAGAATTATAGACATTTTTTCCAAATGTAATATACAGATCCAAATTGATTGCAGCCAAACATGCCGTTAGTCAAATCTTTAGTACGCTCTATTAGGGCACGAAAAAGACTTTAAAGTTTTGTCTTAGCCTCAGGGTCGCTGGGGCTAGAGGTGAACCAATCGCCAACAGCCAGAATATAAAGTTACCTTGAGATGCAGTATTTATTCTCAACAGTGTATCATTTAGAACAAACTTTTTTTTAATGTAAAAATAAGCAATTACTCGTCATTATAAAATGACCCATTTTACAAGGGGGCAAATTTGGTTTTATTCCCCCGAAAGGCTCACCTCCATGACAGTGCTCACAGGCACATGTCTCACGTCTGTCATCCGCTCTACCTGTATGTCTAATGCTCCATTTTCCGAGAGCAAACTTGTCTTTCAAAACACAGGAAGAAAAGCGTCAGCCATTTTTTCCCACCTCCAGTTGAGGTGGGGGAAGTTTATCCCAACAGCCCTGCCAAGTAGCTGGCATGATCTGCATTCTTCTAGGATAGCTAGGCAAAGTTTAGAATGAGAAATGCAAAGTACATCCTTGCGCTTTCAGGATTATTTCAGTTTTAAATGATTTAGAGTTCCCTTATATGGAAGGCTTTCTAGGAAAAGACTGGCTAAACCTGTTCCTCACTATAATTGAGAATGCATACTCAGAAATTTAATTCAGCATTGGGTGCACAGTAGTGTAATAAATACAGGCTATGTGGGAGATTCCTTCGGGCTTCCTTGGTTTGACGTGACTCTCTGAGATGGGGTTGTTAAAGGGACAGTTGGGGGAATGGGAAGAAGGGGAGCCTTGTCACTCTGGGGAGGGGCTAGGTAGGATCCTTTAGTGGGTGCTGTCCAGTACCATAGCCACTAGCCACATGTGTCTCTTCCCAGTTAAGGCAATACTGTAAGAGTAAAAGCTATACTGGGTCTCAACGAGTTAGTATTTAAAAATGTAAAACATCGATAATTTTTATATTAATTGCGTGTTGAAATTACATGTAAAACAATTATTTTGGGAGTGTATCAGATTAAATAGCAGCATTAAAATTGATTTCACCCATCTCTTTTTCTCTCTGAATGTGGCTACTAGAAAGTTTAAAATTACATATATGGCTCTATATTTCCAGTGGACATCACTGGGCTATATGCATTTTTACATGGTGGAATTACGGTTAGTGTTTATTTTCTTGCTTGTTTCTGTATTTTTCAAACTGACAGTATATGTGGCAGACGGTAATGTGTTTTGAGGAAAAAATACATAGCATGGATTTTGGAGTCTGGCAAAGATATGTCCTAACTGTTGCACTCGGGCAACTTTCTCTGAGCCTGCACTTCCTCATTGGTTAAATTAAGAGAATAACTCTTTTGACCTCACCAGGTCAAAGCTTTCCAGGTTGTTATCAGGAGTGAGAGATGCATGGGAAATTAGCAGAGTACTTGGCACAGAAACTGGCATAGGAAAAACTCAATAATAAATATTCCACATTATTGTAGGTTATATCAAAACACCCATTCGGTGCACAATGTGAAAATTTGTCCCTGTTTCTAATTCAGGTCTTTGTCTCTCTTGTTCTACAAGTTTGCCCTTGCTATTATATCTACCGACTTTTACATCCAGAAAGCTGAACTTCCCCTTCTTTGCCTCATAATTGAGCTTGTTCATACTGAGCTTACTCCCACTTAGTTACTTTAGCTCCTTTTTAACTTCAGAGCAAGAATTTTATCTTGGCTACAAACCACGCTACAACTCTCTATCTGCCCCTGCCCTTGGCCTTGTACCTGGAGGCTGGGTCTTGCTTTTTACCGAAGTCTGCTTCTTTTGATGGGATGATCAGTCAAGGACAATTGACACCAGGCCAGTGCATGTGGGAAGCTGTCAGAAGAGTAAGGGTCATGTAAACAAGAGATCAAGAGAATAAGGAGCAAAGACAGGGCAGAAGAAAAGCAATGTTACCACTTCTCTCCCCTTGTTTCACAAGCCAGCCTTTTCTTCTCATTGCCTTTGTCTGTTGGCTTTAAAAGCTGTGCTATATTCAGCTCAGGGTGGATACAAGGTGTTTCTCATTGCCTTTCTAGATTCTCACCGCCTGAAGTACAACCTCCCACAGTGTAGCATGGTACACATATAAAACCGTGCACTCAATTTCCATATTCTGGGCAGTAACTCCTCAGATGAAGATGGTTATACATGTTCTCGATGGAAGAAAAAAAATGCAAAACTTTGTGAAAACACGTGGCTTCCTAGCTCCTTCACAATTAATGAGATGAGCCTCTCAGAGCTGCATGAGATACTCACAGGAGCAGGAAAGTAAGATGAATTTGGAATAGCACAGGTGGCTGGGAACACCTGTATTCCTCAAAGCAGTGGGGGAAAAAAGTCCCTGATCTCTTATGAGAGTATGTATTTTTTAAATCAGAGATATGTTGAGGTCTTTTTTGTTCCTTTGCATAATTCTTTACAGTATCTGTAACCAGGTGATTCAGAAGAAACTCCGGACTTAAGGCGGATTTTTTTTTTTTTACCATTTTTTCATCAGATCAATATGTTACTTCACCTGTTTTTAGATTTGCTGGATGTTCTCAGGATAGCAAACTCAAAGGAAAAAAATGAGCAAACTGGTTTATGTTTCCAAGTTTAGGCTGAGAGTTGACACGAGAAACCTGTGGAAATTAACAAAGGAGAGTTTCCAAGGCCTTCCTTGGTCACATATAGATTTGTGGAGGATTTGAATACACCTAGGGTCCCTCCAACACCAGGCACGGAATACTCAGGCCAGTACAATCAGGAGGCTCAACTCTGGATGTATGAATGTGGCTGTTTTCCCTGGAGCATTTTTTTTTTAAATTGGTTTATCAAGACAGAGTTTCACTCTGTCAGCCAGGCTGGATTGCCATGGCACATGTATGTCTCACTGCAGCCTCAACCTCCTGGGCTCAAGTAAGTGATCCTCCCACCTCAGTGCCCCCAAGTGCCTAGAACCACATGTGTACCACCATGCCTGCCTAAGTTTTTCTTTCTTTTCTTTTTTTTTTTTTTTTTTTTTTGTCGAGATAGGGTTTTGCTTTGTTGCCTAAGTGGGTCTCAAGTGATCCTCCTGCCTTGGCCTCCCAAAGTGCCGAGATATCAGGTATGAACAACCATGTCTGGCCCCATTTATTAATAAAATATTTACCATGAGTCATAGGCAGGAAGCATTCATTGCCAACTGTCACTTTCCTATGGTTTTCAAGAAAATCAGAGGATTTAAAGTGTGAATAAATGTTTCTTATTATGATTGATTGAAATTTAGGAAAAGGAAGGAAGCATTTCTGAAAATGCAAATACTGCTTTAACATAGCAGCTCTCTACAGGGGAACTTATATTCTAGGTGTCTTGGCTTCTGAAGAAAAGAGATAGCAAATGCTCTGCAGATCCCCTGATCTTCCTTTTTTCTTTTGTCACTGTAAACTGTCATGATACCTGTGATTTCAATTGTTTGTGGTTGGTGTAGCATCTTTATCTCTGTCAGAATTGCAGAATCTAGCGGTGGTTACGTAAGTTGGAATACAAACCTGTGGGCATGCAAACAAATGTAGTCAACATTTGATCTACATAAGGGGCCTTCCAGCCGTCCTGTCTCTTCTCTAGGGTCTGATTGCTTCTGGGCTGCTGACAGCACAGTTCAGTGCTGCAAAGGAAGGGAATACGTTACTGGCTGCAGTTTTATAATTTGCCATCTTTGAATAAGTCTTTTTCCCCATATAGGGGTGGAAGAGATGATGGCTCTAAAAGTGTCTGAAAAGAAGCACGTGCTGTTGCAGAGATGAGCATGATTATAGGTGTGCATACCTAGCATGTGTATGCCCAAAAAACATTCTTGGTGACACGCTATTTCTGATTTTGCTTCCCTTGAAACTGAATGCAAAACCAGTGTCATTAACGATGCTGCTTTGTTGCCAAAGGGATACAACTTGCATTTGATTTTAAAATATCACTAGGTCTTCTTTGTGCAGACATCCTTTAAAATACAAACACTGCTTTATCTAATGCAGCTATACAGTAGGTATACATCTTTTTCTTTCAAATGAAAAGACAAAATCAGATTTATGGATAACATAAAATGCTTTCTGGCTACACAAACACCAATGAAAACATTTTTTAAAATTAACAGACATCAACCAGTATAAATACACTGTCTAAAGCATTTAATGGTCTTTAACACGGCCGACTCCCCCGCGTTTGAACCAGTGTTAAATTCTCTTTTGCTCATGGCAAAAGAAGCTGTCAAGCACAACACTGAAAAATTGGTACCGTTTCCTGGCCAGTAAGCACAGAACGGAGGGGCTAAATATCTTTATGGTTTTGTTTATTTATTTACCGCGTTCTCATGCTGTGTTGTTCTCTCTGTCTCTCCCTCCTGCTGGTGCCTGCCCAGGGCTGATTGTTGTGACACTGGCCGTATGCTGGATGCCCAACCAGATTCGCAGGATCATGGCCGCAGCCAAACCCAAGCACAACTGGACGAGGTCCTACTTCCGGGCGTACATGATCCTCCTCCCCTTCTCGGACACGTTCTTCTACCTCAGCTCGGTGATCAACCCGCTCCTGTACACGGTGTCCTCGCAGCAGTTCCGCCGGGTGTTCGCGCAGGTGTTGTGCTGTCGGTTGTCGCTGCGGCATGCCAACCACGAGAAGCGCCTGCGCGCCCAAGCGCTCTCCACCATGGACAGCGCCCGCTCTGCGCAGCACCCCCTGCTCTTCCTCGCGTCCTGGCGCCAGTCCTCTGCAAGGAGAACTAACAAGGTTTTCTTAAGCACTTTTCAGAGCGAGGCCGAGCCCCAGTCTAAGCCCCAGCCACTGAGTCTGGAGTCACTAGAGCCCAACTCAGGTGCAAAACCAGGCAATGCTGCTGCAGAGAATGGTTTTCCGGAGCATGAAGTTTGAACATCTAGTAAAGAAGCCTTGAGTGGGAACTGGCCCTCCACCCCCAAGAAAACAATGTCACCCTCACCCTGCAGTCTCAAAATAAACTATGCCCCCCATCAGGGGTGGAATGGACGCTGGCAGCTCTGCAAAAGGCATTGCCCACCTCAGTGACTTCTAAGGGCTGACTGTGCCAGCCTGGCCTTGGCTCTGGTTACACAGACGTAGGGGTGAACCTACACTCCACCTCCTTCCTTCAAGTACATACTGAAAATTCAGTCAGCCCGAATTCATTTAGAGCTTACACAAATGCTTTACACGGAGCTCTTTCATTATTTGCAAAGGAACAAAAAGAGAACACGGACTCCTGCTCCCTACCCAGAATAAAAGGATGGCCAGAAGAACAATGCAGGAGCGGGTGGCATCTCCTTCAGCTTCAGCAGTGGGCTGAAAAGAGGGCTAATTTGAGGAGCAGGATGGTGGTGGGGAGCCTTGGCCTGAGGGCAGAAGCAGAACTGCCTCTTTTCTTGGGCCTTGGCCCGTTGCAAAGAGGGGTGTTGCAGCAGCTGATGCACACTGAGTTCAGTTTCCCTGGGGAGCAGAAGGACTGGTACCCGGCAGAGGCGATGAGACAGGCGGCTGATGATGCACAGGACTTGCGATACATGATCCCTGCAACACAGACCCAAAGGACCTGGGTTAACATGCACTGGTCAAAAGACAGCTCTTCCTTACTCCTTCTACAGCCTAGAGATTTGATGGGGGCCAGGAAGGTGCTTCAAATTATTTCACTGATACTCAAAACACACAAGATAGATGTTGAAAGAGACAGGCACTTTTTCATTACCTTTCACAAAACTGTTCCAAAAGCTATTTGAGATGCCAATAGCAGTGAATAAAGAGCTTTTAAAATGAAAGTCTTTAAGTCAGAGGAGTTCAGACTGTGTACAAGACACAGCTTTTTATTTTTTTATTGTTGTTCAAACTAACTGTCTCATGCTCATGCCAGTGAGGACCACAAGCAGTGCTTCTAGATCTCTGTTATGACTTATAAACAACCAAAGAGGGATGGCTCTCAACTACGTGTTGATGAAAGAAAGACCAAATCCCAAAGGGAATATGATCCCTGCTGAAGAGGTGCCTGACACTGTGCCCCTCACAGTCTTATTCTCAGCAAAGACAGACACTCTGCTCTTGAGACACGTGGCCATCTACCAAGCCAGGACTACATGGCTAACACTCAGGGACACACACTGGGTATAAAAAGGAGCTTCCCAAGAAGACTGAGGGGCCTGTCTCAAGGAGCATTTGTGTCCTGTCAAGCTGCAGTAGAGTCATCAAATTAGACTGTCTTAGATAACTTATTTAGGGGCTTTCCCGTCTCCCAGGCACTATTCAGACAGCTGTAGTGTGCCCAGCCTCTTCACTACCCACAGCTTCCCTCCAAGGGAGGTCGTCATGATCACCCCCATTTTACAGATGTGAAGCCTCAGGGCCAGAGAGGTTTAGTAAACTTGCCCAAGGTCACATGAACAGGAAGTAGAGCGGCTGGGATTTGAACCCAGCATTCTGGCTCCATGCTGTCAAGACTGTTACTGTATAGCAGCAAAGTAGACTACCAATTAACTACCACAATGGTGGAGATATTTTAGGGGGAGGGGACTTTACTCTGAAGATAGTAACATATGTACTCACACAGAAAAGCTATTTAAATCTGAATTTTTTTGGACAGATAATATTTAATACTAAAGGTGGACTTAGACTTAAGAGGTCTTAATTCTGCTTGCTGCCTTGCACAGCTGAGGGATATAGCATCCCACTCATTTTCTGCAGGTGTGTGGGCAGGTGTGGTTTTGGTTTTGGCTTCCTCCTCCTTGAGAACTACCACTGTGGGTGCTGTAGAAACAGTAAAGAATGAAACTGCCTAATACTTCCAAGTGGGAGGTAAAGAAGTACTGTGGATTTACCTTAAAACATGCAATTTTATGTCATTTTTTCCCCCTCTAACTGCATGGTTGTAGGGATTGATTTTCTAAGACCATTTCAAAATCCTAGAAGGTGGCTGCTCTGGTAAGATAAAGCCAAGGTACAGAGTCTGCCTGTATCTGTGTTGTGTCTATGTGTCGGAGGCACTGTTTGATTGCTAAGGAATACACTTCAGGGCATTGCCCATTTATAGGTTTCCCATAGTCTCTCCATTTGCTATCCATGGCCCTTCTTGGGAAATGATTTTACTCTCTCTTTATTCCTAAGTATGAAGAACACTAACTGGCATTTATTTGCTCATTCAACTACAATGAACTTTTTTCCTTTAAGTGAATTTTTAAACTTTCAAAAATACTTACTGAATATATTTTTCTCTGTAAAAATGCTCAAACAGTCCATAAGGTGAAATACCCCTTGAGTATCCCTGCCAGTTCCAGGCCCTCCATCATGTCCCTCTGCGGGCAGGAGCTGTCATCGGCGTGGCCTGGCTCCTTCCAGGCTGGTTTCTGTACATTTACATATATACTCAGAGACAAAAAGTCCATGTGTTGGCACACACTTGTTAATACTATCACATCCTATATGCTATTCTGCAATTTGCATTTTTATTTAGTGACATGGCCCTGGCTACTCGTGGGATGCTATATCCCTCAGCTGTGCAAGGCAGCAAACAGGATTAAGACCTCTTAATTCTAAGTGCAGCTTTAGTATTAAATATTATCTATCCAAAAAAGTAATTTATTGAAATAAACTAGCCACATACAGACCCACACAACAAAGCTAACTTTACAGGGTTAGGGATCAGTGATCAGGTAAGTTAGTTGGATAAATGGTGCATGTCGTTGTGACGAGATGGACTAACAGAGCCACAATCTTTACTGCTACTGAGACCCTCATGTCATTAGTCAGAAACAATTTATCTCCATAAGGAAAGCTGAGAGGAGATACAAGCTCTCAAGTTGATGGTTCATGAACTGATGCCACCACAGTGAGGCTTTCTGAAGGGGAACGTTGACAGCTCCAAAAGAAAAGGGGTATTTACTAGATGCTGCAAGAGGAGAAAAAAGAGAAAGGTGTCTGATGTCTGATGGGTGTCTCCACTGCCAGGCTGGCCCCTCCAGGCCAGGTACTCTGTGGAGGTCCAAGGGCCATCAGGCTTCTAGGCATGAGGGCCATGAGGGTCAGGGGAACTCTGGGCTCCTGTGAGCCTCCCTTGGTTAAAGTCTAAGTCTGGAAACTGACAGTAGAGATGCTTTGGGAGAGACTGGATGTGATTAAAGATGTTTCTAATGGGATGAAAGGAAATGCAGATCTAGGCATCAAGGTCAGTGAAAGGCAACTGGCTGGTGTCAGGGTTACAGAGGAGCTGGGTTGGGAGACATTCAAGAAGAAAAGGTATGCTGGTTCTAAACCGGGTGGTGGCAGAGGGAGCAGGTAGGAGGTGTTGTACTAACAGAAATGGGGAAATTTGAGATTAAAGAGGGCTTTCAGAAAACAAAGGCATTTTACTCATCCTTTTGATGAAAATTGATGTGGCGATAACACAGTGCCTCCTTTGAGAGACCTGGGATGGGGCTGAGTGGTGAGGCTGGGACAGAGGGACTGATAGTTGGAAAGGCTGATATTTGGAATCTGAAAAGAAGTGGAAATAAGCTACCTCTCCCATGGCTTCAAATAAAAAAAAAATCCTTCCCAGTTCCTTGTAGGCACTTGAGTGGCTGGGCTGGGGATGGGAACAGAGGTCCTGGACAAACGGGAATGGTTTTGGGGCATGTTGAGAGCTGCCCTGGAAGGAGCATGTGATTGAATAGCACGCACTCCACTCGGTAGCTTTAAGAAAATGCCCCTGGGGTTTAGGCATGAATGGCAGCCTGTACTGGTACAACTGGTGACAAAAGCAATAGGAGAGAACCGGAGGCAGCAAGGAGCGAAGGGGTGTAGAATAAAAGCCTGTAATCCCAGCACTTTGGGAGGCCGAGGCCAGTGGATCACGAGGTCGAGAGATCGAGACCATCCTGGTCAACATGGTGAAACCCCGTCTCTACTAAAAATACAAAACATTAGCTGGACATGGTGGCACATGCCTGTAATCCCAGCTACTCAGGAGGCTGAGGCAGGAGAATTGCCTGAACCCAGGAAGCGGAGGTTGCGGTGAGCCGAGACCGCGCCATTGCACTCCAGCCTGGGTAACAAGAGCGAAACTCCGTCTCAAAAAAAAAAAAAAAAAAAAAGACTCACACCGGAAGGAAATAAGGAATGCTGCCAGGTGGGGGCGCCCAGTGAGGACTTAGCACTCCTGAACAGCTCCATCATTCACATGCTTATCAGAATAAATTCCAAATAGAGTTAAGATTTAAATGTTGAAAAACAAAACCATGAAAGTACTAAATGGCACTCTGGAACCTTGGGAGATTTCTTTAAGAGTTGTAAAGGCTATTCTATGAAACAACACTCAGAAGCCATTACGGAAATATTGAAAAATTAGACTACACCCACACACTCTTTAATAAAATCCCTATACATAAGAAAAAAAGTGAAATATTGGAGAAAATAATTGTAACTCAAATCACAAAGCAAATTTCCTTGATATGTAAAAAGGTCCTAGAAATCTGTAAGGAATAAATAATAAATCAGTAAGGAATAAATAAATAGTAACTCAGAAAAAGAGGGAAAGCAAATGACCAGATAGTTTACAGAAAAAGAAACAGAACTCTGAAACACATGAAAAGAGGCTCACCCTCACGTATCCTAAGAAGAATGGAAATTAAACTATGCTGAGATGCCATTATGATTTATCACTTGGGCAGAGATTTAAAAGTTTATTATAAACACTGTGTTCATGAATCTTAGGAAAAGGCCCTTTCCCACACTGTTGGTTAGGAGAGTACACAGGTATAATTTCCACGAAGGCAATGTGGCAATAGCCATCAACGTTATAAATGCACATACTCTGTGACCTAGCAAATTCCACTTTTATGTATGTATCCCACAGACATATTCACAGACCTACAAAACTACTATAGGCAAGGTTATTCATGGTAGAGTAGTGTGTCGTAGCAAAAGAATAGACAATCACTCTATCCATCACCAGGGGACTGGTAAACTTCCAGTGTCTTATCGGCACTGCACAATGCAATTCCACAAAACTGTACACGAAGATACTGAGTTAAAAACAAAGCGAAGTAAGTCTGGACGGTTCCCTCCTTCCTTTTTTCTCCCTCCCTTCCTCTTCCTATTTTTTATTTTTTAAATGAATGAGTTTATGCTTACTATGCTTCAGATGCAGTTTTAAGAGCTTTATGAATATTAACTCTTTCAATCTTTGTAGTAATGCTGGTAGTAATCCTCATTTTGCAGATGGGGAAACTGAGACAAAAATAGGGTAGGTAATTTTCTTAGAGGCCATGCAGGTAATATGTAGTGGGGCTGAGATTTAAGCCCAGGAGGTCTGGATTTATAATCTGTACTCTTAACCATTATATTACATTGTTTACCATGCTATAACACACATCTATTGGGGAAAATAAAAATTAAGAGCGCGTGTGCACGCGCGCACGCACACACACACACTTTGCATGGATATGCATCAAAATGTATGGAAGAATATACAAAAAGATAATGTTGGTTGTCTCTGGCATGAGGTACTAGGTAGTCACTGGATAGGAGTGGAAAAAAAACCTGTAGAG